GGCCATTTACGAGGTCTATGGTGATAATATTATTTATTCTTTTACTCCCTATTTCAGAATTTGTTTTTTCAAGCCTACTTGTTTCATATATATCAGTATAATCGTTATTTTGTCCGTCTAACAATTAAGGTGTATGCCTATTATGTTAAAGAATCTCATTTTTTTTCTAAATGTCCATAACTAAATATTTAAATTATTAGGTCTCAATCTCTTGCGCAGACCCTAAGCGAACTTGTAAGAATTTGGTCCTTAGTAAAACATTGTCAGTATCTAAACATTGGATAATTTTTTTTTCAGATTATGGAGTTATATGATGGAATACTCGTAGCTACTTTGGCTATAGTGGATTCATCTACATTAATCTTAGTATGTGTATACTGTGAGATATTCTTTAGAGAAATCAAAAAGCTAAAATTATTAACAATTACCTTGATGGCAGCCTTTAACCAAGGTAAATACTAATTTTGTTCATATTGTACAAAATATATACGCTGTATATATTTTTACCTCTACCCCACCGATTCTTACTATATCGTGTTTTCACATATCACATACAACAGTCTTCAGAAATGGTAAAACATGAGAATGCTGTACTATTAATATTTTCTTTAAGATGATTTTTTTTGTATATTTAATTATACAATAAAAATAGATGACGGGCTACCAGATAAAATGCTTCCTGTTGCCCACACACATGAACACGAACGAATGTAATGCTTTGCAATTCTTTAAGACTGAGTTGCGTGTAAATCCTGAAATTTCAGTACAATATTTAACACCAAAACACATCATGCAAATCAAAGTTGCAGAAAGAAATAGGTGAAATGGATGTACTCATACAATTGACTTTGTACAAAATCTCATAAGATGCATGAGAAAAATCATTGATATAATTCTGCATTTATTTAAAATTTTAGGTCCACTAAGGAATAAAGCAAAACGTATGTTTACGATGATAGAAGAAACTACCCCTCGTTTCTACGTATACGACATGTGGGAAATGAACGCCGGTTTTTTGCTAAGTTTCACGAACGTTATAACTGGATTGATAGTCACACTTTTACAGTTTGCTTTTCTCTGATACTGCACTTTTTATCTTCTAAGCTGTATGATATCTAATAGGTAGCATCACTAATATAGATAATATTACAATAGATCTTTACGTTACCTATGTAACTACAAAAGGAAAAGCTACTCAATTCGCTGTCGTGTATTGATTTTTTGTATTACATCGCCAATTTTCTTCGACATATACAATGTTTGATAATGTGTTCTGAATTATTTCACTATTTCAAAATATCTTTTTTAATGAACCGATTTTCACTAATGTTCGTTCGACACCAAGTCTATGTTGAAAGCATCTTAAACTTAGCGCTAGTAGACATGAACGACGCCGTCGATATCACAGATCGTCGTCATGATATACTGTAAAAAATCTTATTATGCATTTTTTACTATTCTATTCTAGTGCCTTTGTCTTTTCTCCTGTACTCAAACTGTCTCAAGTTTCCTGGAAAAGATTATACCATAAATACGATCGTCATAAGCGATAAGATCGCCGTTTTTAACTTTGTAAAACACAATATGCACCTAATTAAACATACACATATATGTGATCATACCTATAGATATACGTATATATAAACATAATATTTATTAAATAACTTAGAATCAAACGAACTTACCTAGTGATGTTTGATATCTAATTATACGAGTGTCTTGACCGAAGATGATTACTAATTACATGCAGCACGCCAGATGATGCTGTAAATACAATCGATTAAAAAGTATCTATTCGATAACTCAACTCCCCACTTTTTGCCTCCCTACCTTATTAGTCTACAAGCGCCCGAACCTCTTTCATTCAGAGCCCAATTTTTTCGATATACACAGGGAAGAAATTAAGGGGGGAGTGTAATCATCTTCGGTCAAGACACTCGTATAATTAGATATCAAACATCACTAGGTAAGTTCGTTTGATTCTAAATTATACTTCGTATCTCCCGAAGATGAGTACTAATTACATGTAGATGGTTAGAGCATCGAAAAAATAAAACACCTAATTAAACAAATGATTTATTTCTTCTTGATATTTATTAGACTATATATAACAATATAAAAGAAAAAACAAACATTACATTTAACAAAAAAATTATGTCCTAAATACATAATTAAATAATTAGTTAGGAACTGATTTTAATACGTTTCTGTTATAATATTTAAGGAAAACGTTTGATGATTCAGACCAGCCTGCTGCTTTCCGGATTGCATCAAGACTAACGCCTTTATTGTACGCAGCAGAAGTGGACGCATGGCGCGTGCTATGAGCGCCGTACAATTTAATATCTATTCCACTTTTTTCTAATATTGCCTTAACCCAATGAGATAAAGTTTGTGTAACTACCTTCTTGTGCGGTTTTTGAAAACTTATGAATAAATATTCCTTTTGATGACGTAATGGGGATGTTCTGTCTATGTAAGTTTTTAAACAAAGGGCTGGACATACTTTAGGATTTTCTTTGATGTATGGTAATACTATAAAGGGTTGGTAAGTTCCAGGTCTTGAAGTTTTTATTAATTCGTCAATTTTTATTTTAATTTGATCTGAGTCAATTAAATACTCTGAATTTTAATCAAGCTCAAAGTCTGTATTCTTTGCGCCGATGCTAAAGCAAGGAGCGTTATAGTTTTTTGTGTTAAATCTTTTAATGAAATTAATTCATTAGGATAATGAACAGCTTAGTAATTTAGTACTAAATTAGGATCCCAAGTGGTATCATATTTTGTTGCAGGAAGTTTCATACGGTATACACCTTTTAAAAACCGCTTGATTAGATTATTGCAAGTGATATCTTGACCTAACAGTATGGACAATGCTGAACGATAACTATTAAGTGTGCTATAACTGGCACCGTCGTTATATTTTTGCGTTAAAAATTCAATCAATTGTATTATATCAGCATGAGAATAATCTCAATTTTTTTCCTTACAATATAACCACCATGATTTTAGTGCTGTGTTATATTGAACGAGCGTGTTATTTGAGAAAGAGCTCATCATTATGTCGAGAGATGCGTTCGGGATTCCGTGACTCACCAGCGACTGCCTGATAATATTCCTGCCATTAGGATCAGGTCCGCATATAGAGGATGCAGCTCCCTGGAAGGAGATAGCAATAAATTGTCATTAGGTTGAAAATATAAGACTTCAGATATTAGTAATTGGTTCCATATCGGATACCAGGGTTGAGTCGCCCAATATGGCACCACAACTATCCCACTTGCTATATCACATTTAATCTTACGTAAAACTTTGGAAATTAGACTAAAGGGTGGAAAGGCATAGAAATTTAGGTTATTCCAATTAAACGTGAACGCATCTATTATTTCCGAGTTCGGATCCAATTTCCATGAAGCGTATCTCTTACATTTTTTATTTTGAATACTAGCAAATAGATCGAATTCGGGGTAACCGAGAGAAAGCTGTATCTGTTCGAAGGCATAATGAGCTAGTTCCCACTCAGTATCATTATTGAATGATTTACGAGATTCTAAATCTGCAACTATATTTTCTTTTGATTTGATGTAAGAAGCAAAAATATGCAAATTACGTTTTTCACACCATTGCCACATACCGCGAGCAATTTAATTCAAATGTGGAAATTGTATGCCGCCCATTTTATTTATATGGGCAATGGCAGTTGTATTGTCCACTCTCAATAATATATTACAATTACTATATCGCGATGCGAATATTTTAAGGCCATAGAATGCCGCTAATAATTTGAAAGTATTTATATGTAATAATAGCTGAGAACTATTCCAGAGTCCGTGGGCTGTTTCGTTATTGCACGCTACGCCCCAACCCGTATTTGAAGAGTCGCTAAATATTACAACAGAATAGTCGCAACTTTGAAATAAAGAAAATGAGGAGTCTATGTGATCTCTCCACCATACAAAATCCTCCTTTAGATGTTTTGATAGAGTGATATATTTATTGTAATTATTAGAGTAATTAAGTGCTAGGAATTTATCCCATTCAAATAATTTTGTATAAACCCATCCATAAGTCACTGCTGGACATGCGGAGGTCAATAAACCTACGTAACGAGCGAATTCTCTTATTTTACATTTTTTTGTTTGTATTAATGTATTTGTAAATATTTTTATATGTTTTTTTTTTCATCGGGTAATGTTAGACTCATATTATTTGAATCAAAAATGAAGCCTAAAAATAAAAATTTTTGCTTGGGTACAGTTTTACTTTTATCTTCATTAATTAAAAATCCCAATTTAGAAAGTATATATTTAGTATTTTTTAAATTATCAAGGCAGTTATTAAATGAGCCTCCAATGCATAAAAAATCATCAAGAAAATTTACGGATATATAACCTAATAATGTAACACGGGTTTTAAAAGCTTAGTAAATACATAAGGTGCAGTACATAGTCCAAATGGCAGTACATTGAATTCAAACAGTTGATTTTTATATATTTCAGAATTCCAAGTAAAACGAAGGTAGATTTTATCGCTTTTGGCAATGGGGACTAAAAAATAGGCATCTTTCAAATCAAGCGTGGCCATAAAACAGTCTTGGTCTATTAATTTTAATGCGGTGCGATAATCCTCCATTTTGAAGTGCTTAACAGATATAAATTTATTTAATTCCTTTAAATTTAAAATAAATCTGTGTTTCCCATTAGGTTTCGGGACTGTAAAAATAGGAGAAATAAATTGATTTTTACATGGGGAACAAGTCGAGATATAACCCGACTGTAATAGTTCCGTAATACACTCATCAATTATGTTGATTTCAGTTACCGTATATGATTTAGTTTTAACTGTCTGATGTGGGTCACAAAAGAATGGTATTTTATAACCTTTAACCCAGGACAAAATATTTTTATCACTTGTTATTTTAAGCCATCCATCAAAAAAGTACTGAAGTCTGCCAGCAGTTGGTACAAATGTTTTTGTAATATGTACCTGTGATAATGTATTCAACGTCGTCGAGTCTGTTGTGGGTAAGATCTCGAACGCTGCGTCGGCGGCGGCGGAGCAGTGCGCCGGTCGCGTGGCCCCCGAGCTGGCGGAGGGGGCTGTAGCGGCGGCGCCGGCTGGAGCGGTACCGAGTGCCGAGACTGGCCGGGGTACACTCGCGGCTCGGCATACGTTGTCCGCGGTGCCCCCCGTGCGTTTAAAGCCCCCTGGCGAGTTGTTCTTGGCTGCAAGCGATATTGACTAGATCTGTTGCTACTTTGTGTGGTGCATATTAATTCCGATGCTGACGTTGATATGACCTTAGATGTTTTTAAGTGTTCAGATAAATTTGACCCAAATAAATATTCATCTATTTTTGCATTTTTTATTATTTCACGTTTTTGTTTACTTATGGAATTAACAATAGTAAACCTTCTCGAAAGGGATTCTCTGTAGTGAGTGTCACACAGTAAGCGCCCTGCATCGCTCAGAGTTTTAATAATTTCTTGTGGGATATTTTCCACTTGTGTCAAGGCTAAGTTTAATGCTTTGCCAATAGCCGAGATACAGCTAGACATTTGATTTTGTTTTTGCTCACTGTACGAGTCCTTTTTTAAGCTGGTATCGGACAATGCCGACTTCAACTCCGGGTTTAGTATCGGTGCTTTCATGGGGATACAATTTTCTGCGGGTAAATATTCTTTTAAAAGATTCGCTTTTTCTTCTTTAAGTATCCCGTTAGTTAAAATATGTTTCCATCTCATAGCTAGATCTTTATGTAAATTTTCACCAAAGGTTTTATCTTGTGTTGGATCTGACCCCAGTAACTGTAATATGTCTGGGTCTAATTCATCACTTTCCTCTATCATTTGATCATTTTCAATTAGGATCTCGTCTGTAATGACGTAAAAATAACATAGTAGGTAAAAATGAAATTTGAGATGCAACGGTTTTTGTCTATACACACTTTGCGTCAAGACTCGATTATGTTATTGTTATAATAAAAATATTATAACAATGGATAAAAATCCACACACATATGTCGGGATTTATTTATACAACATCCACACACTAAAAGTCGGGATATGAATAACTACCACACACGATTACGTCGGGTAGATCTACATAAATGTACCGTCAAATAAAAATAATAATATTTTTTGTTTGATATTCATTTAGAGAATTGTTTTGAATTATTGGATCACTGGCTTCGTTTTCGATATTTGAATTTAATTGCACAGGAGTTGACGAAGTATTTTCTATAGTCATATTTTCCGAATCCGATGATGACGAAATTCTTCTTCTTGTTCTCACTAACTTTTTAACTTTTTTAAACAACCGTTCTAGTTCATGACTGTCACCTCTATCTGACCGCTTCCTTTTTCCCATTTTAACTTATTTTTGTTGGAAGAGACGTGTGACTCGGACAACACGAAATCGCGTAATGAGGTTCGGGCGCTTGTAGACTAATAAGGTAGGGAGGCAAAGAGTGGGGAGTTGAGTTATCGAATAGATACTTCTTAATCGATTGTATTTAATTTTTATCAATCAATGCATTTAAAATGATCTAAAAATAGTGTGATAAGGACAGCATCATCTGGCGTGCTGCATGTAATTAGTAATCATCTTCGGGAGAGATACGAAGTATAATTATACACAGGTGTTCACAGTGTTTGTAAATATAAATTACTTGTGTTACGCAAGCCTAGTATTTTATTGGGGACAGTGCAAATGCAGCAGTCCTTCTATACTAGGCTTGCGTAACACCTCCCCAATAAACATTGCACGCGGCACCAAATGCTTGATCAGCAATGAGCATCACGCCATATCGCGTCATGCCTATAGTTACATTTCATTTTTATAGAATTATATAAATCAATCATATTCTGTTCTAACATCGAACTATAAGCATTGTAATTATTATTTTATATTAATAAATTTAAGTTAAGAAAAAGGTTGGATTTTTTTTACAACCTCCGGCTGTAGAATCCATAATTGGCGCAGTCGGTAGGATACTCATAAAAATATATATATATATATATTTGAGTATTCGAATTCTACGGGATTTCTACAGTGGAGTTATTCAAAAATTCGAAAGTGTACCAAGATCCGCCTGTACCTGCTCTACGTTCGAGTAATATGCAGTAAGTACTTAGAATCTTTCTCAGTCCTTACTTCCCATACTTTAATATATTTTAATATTATTTTATGTGTGTAATTTTAAGTATCCAAGATTTTTCATCCTAGAGAATCACGGATTATTAGGATAGGTAGTAGTAAGTCAAGTAATAGTAGAATTAATATTTTAGACCAACATAGAAATTTACATATAGAATAACAGCGACATCGATACCATATATAAGTCCCTTAGATTAGTACCGGAATTCGACGGCAATCCACATATTTTAACAAGATTTATTAATATTTGTGACCAGTTAGTTTTAACACACTGTAATACTGAACCGGGCAATGAACTAGCTAATTTAGCGTTAATTAACGGAATATTAAATAAGATTTCGGGACAAGCTGCTAGACTTATTAATTCTAACGGGTTACCAGAAAATTGGCAGAGTATTAGGAGTGCATTAATCAATAATTTCGCCGATCATCGTGATGAAACAGCTTTTTTTTTTTTTTATTTAAATACATTTTTCCACAGACATATTCGTCCGTGCCTTTTTTAATTTACTTTAATATTATAATATTTATTTAATTTCCACTTTTGTACAACTCCAGCCGAGATGTTACAATTTGCCTAACAGTGACACCGAGGCAGACCTTATCCGTCTGGCCCAGAACCACCGCTGGCCGGCCGGGTGAGTTGACAACATGCAGTGTCACCCATCTTTATTTGGAGGATTAGATTTACCAATATGCATATACAATTATATAAATCTTACACTACTACTAATTTCACAGTTTTCATTACATTGTGCAATGTAAGAATTCATAATGTAACAATACACATTATGAATTCTTACACTGCATATACAATTATATGAAATCTTATTTTAACATTATTTTCAAAGTTCACTATTTGTTATAGTCCAGGTTTTGTTTAATTATTGATTGTTTAATTTCACAGTTCACTTTTTGTCGTAATTCGGCAATTTTTTTTTTTTTTTTTCCCCTTTCCCTTTCCCCTTTTTTTCCTTATTTTTTTTTTATTATACTTTTAGCGAGCATGGTCCGGCCTTTCCAGTCCAAAGCGCCCCGACGATGCATCAGCTGTTCCGGTTTTCTATGTGCTGATTATTTTAGCGCAATCAGCGCATCAACGATCGCCCTGTCTCTATTTTTAATCGCCATCTGCAGTGAGTACTCACGAATGTCCGAGTGAGTCGCGCCTTCGGCCTCTTGTACATATAAAACGAGCAACTGCGTCTTCTCGATTTCTCGTATAATATACGCAGTCGCCTGTGTGCCTGGTGATGGCTACCACGGCATGAGAGTAGCTGCCATGCACTTCCAACGGTTTACTTCTAGTATTGATGATAATAACCCTCTCCGATGTCAGTCCCTGGGCCTCATGAATCGTCAGCACTTTAGACTCCTCGTCCATTCCATATCCCTCGGATATTAGTTTTGCTTTCTCCGCTTGGGTATGAACCAGGTATAGAGTCCTGCTTTGGTCCGATGGTATGACTTTGCTGTCGTATTCCATGAGCCTCAGCGACCTAGTCCGGAGGTTGGTCGAGTATATCCCGTTGTATACTTCTCTCAGGGCATACGCTACGTCCAAGGAGTTTCTGTGAGTACATAGAAACTCCCTAGTAATACCTGCTGATTTGTTAGGTCGCTCGTAGGTAATTTCAAATAGGTTATGCCTATCTATAAAGGGGAGTTGATTTACGTCGCCAATAAGCAGGACATCTTTTGCTTTGGCCATTTCTGCTGCTAGCACTATGGCCCCAAAGTGGTTCATAAGGGCTTCATCCACTAGGATGCGGGACACATTTATCCCTTTTGCCGTTAACCAACAAAGAGGCCATTGTTCTCACCCTTTCTCCTGTGTTTTTCGTTGTCTTGGCTTCCAGCTTGTTCCTTAGATCCTTGGCCGCTCCCACGGTGGTTGTGACAATCATGTCCTTTTTGTGGTCGTAGTTGTTGATGATCCACATAGTCTTCCCGCATCCCGGGACGCCGTTTATCCACTCGATATTTGGGATGTTCCATGCTTCAAAGGATATGTCCCCGGTCAAGTCCCTACACCTCGCATCAGCTTGGCTCAGGATCCTGTCGTCCAACATAATCCTTGTGCATGCCGCAACCAACAGGATATTATCCTGTGGGGGTGCGCGGAAACTCGGCTTCCCGGTTTTCCTAGTCTCCTCCGCGTCCAGCGTGACGAACCCCACGGACTCGCAGTATGCCGCCATGTATTTACCAGTATATGCCCCTAACATTGTGGTCTGTGTGTTGTTGTCATACAAGGCGGCGTCCTCCCTGTCCAGTTCGTCGACAATCGCATCATCACCACCCTTCTTGTATTTTTTTATTAATTTAGCACAGGTCTTTTTGTGCAGGGTATGTGTTGCCACGACTATCGCTCGATACTCCAGGAAGGCGTTGACAATATGATCCTTCGGGTTCCTCACTGGACGGAGACGAGGCGGGTCCACCAGTCCCAGATCTGCCTGATGAAACAGCTTTATATAGTGACTTATCTCTACAGACGCAAGGGTCTAGCACCCCCCAGGAATTCTACGAGCGCTGTCAAAATTTATACAGCACCTTAATGACATACATATCACTTCAGGAATCAATTCAACCCACTATAGAGGCTACACGCGCGCTTTATATATAGCTTACTCTTCAAGCGTACTTACGTGGTTTGAAAGACCCCTTGGGTTACAGGATACGCTGTATGCGCCCTGAAACCATAGAAAGAGCCCTTGAATTTGTTCAAGAGGAGCTCAATACCTTATATATGCAACAGCGCTATGAAAATACCGTACAAAAAAAGGATTGGCAACAAGCTCATAATTCGCATAACTTACCCCTAAATAACTTTATACCGAAATCCATTCCTTTCAATATGCCTGGACCGTCTAGACAACAGGGTTTCAATACACGGCAATCTACAACTCAACCGCAACCAAACCAAGGGTGGAAACATAATGTACCACCACACGGATTACCACCACGAGGTCCCACTCGTACTCAACAAATTATGCGCGCACCCCCACCAAACTATAACCCTCAAAGTAACGTCTTCCGACTTCCTAACAGGCAGCCGCCTCAACAGTTTAATTTTAACAACTCGCCGCGCCCAATGAGTGGTGTTAGCACGTATGTCCCTAAAGTTTTACCTCCTTATGGACATGACTGGCGAAAACTCGGGAACCCGCCGCCTAGTAACTATTTTAAAACACGCGAAGCGAATTTCAACGAATTTTATCCCGCATATACCGATAATTATAGTGACATTTATTATTATCCGGAATACGAATATGAAAACTGTTATAATTACGACCAATATAATGATTATTACTTTAACACCGAACAAGATTTCAATACCGATATGCCGGTAGTGGAAGAGGTTGAACAAGCATCAAATGTGCAGGACAATTCAAATTTTCAGGAAGCTATAATATTAGAAAAACCAAAATAGAGTTAAATTTCCATATACAAAGACAATTAGGGTATATTCAGATTAGTAATCCACCTCTTAAATTTTTAATTGATACGGGAGCAAATCAATCTTTCATTAGTCCAGAAGCTGTACAAAAGTATTTCAGTCACATTCCTCTTAATTACGAACCATTTGAAGTAACAAATGTACATGCTACCAGTAAAAATGATTACTCTATTAACTTGCCTTGTTTCCCAGAATTTAACGAAAATGATAATATAAAATTTTTCATATACAAATTTCACCATTATTTCGATGGATTATTAGGCTTTGATTTGCTTGACATATGGGATTCAAATATTGATTTAAAAAATAAATTACTAATCACTAGTAATACTCAGATACATATACAGATGTATGATTAACGTAACGTAAATCTCTATGAAGAGATTATACCAGCAAACTCTTCAAAATTAGTTAGGTTACCAGTAAATACCAAGGATGGCAATGTACTAATTGAAAATCAAATTATTTGTAACTGTTTAATTTCCGATTGCGTAACAAAAGTAGTTAATAATAGAGCTTGGGTCGAGTTAAGTAACACTACGCGTAATGATATTGTCTTTTCAATGGATCGACCAATTGAAGCTGAAATATTTAACCATGAATGTGAAAATACTGAAACTTTATCTGATCGTGCTAAAGATGTATTATCTCGCCTCCGTACAGATCACTTAAATGAGGAAGAAAGAATTAATTTACAACAATTATGTGCAAACTATGCTGATGTGTTTTATCTTGAGGGCGAACCACT